GAATATGCTCCATAAACCAAAGCTGAAAAGTATTTCAAAATATAATATTCAAAAGAGCAAAAACATGTAGAAGCCTTTGATGTTAGGGTTTACAAACTACCTGTACTAATCCAGTGCACGATTGGTACAGACTTGCAGTAACACTGACACCTGGCCGATTGGTTCACAAGATGACTGGCTGGTTGGCTCATATTGGTTCACAAGAGGACTTGCTGGTTGGTAGGCTGATTGGTTCACAAGATGACAAGCAACCCGCCATGACTTCATCCACCAGCTTTTAATGGCATTGGTTGACGAACAGTTGATGTTGCGCCTGGCCAATCCCCAGCGCCTGCACAAGACTACCCTGACAGCCATGGAAGTGGCTGGATTCAATGTCCAGTGCCCAACCAAGCAACCCACTGGACCCCGTCAATTGCCACCACAGCGAGCATGTGACTTTGCTTCCCGTGGGGACAAGAGGAAAACAAGACGTTGGTGCGATGAATGTAAAAAATTCGCTTGCCAGGTACACAGTGAAAGTCAAACTAAAACCACCATTACCTGTGTCAAGTGCCAGACAAAAGAATGAACACTCACACAACACATCTCGCTGAACTTTTCCAGTAGATCGTTTCAGTATCGTTCCGGTTTTGATTCAATGTACATCCAGTTGATTTTATATCTTTTCTTACTGATTACTGGTAATAGTCAACATTTGTGGAATTTCTCTAAAAGTCTGCAATGTTGAAGCTGCAGGAGGGACCAACTGACTTATGGAGCTGCCTTGAGACATCTTGCATCATGCAGTCAACCAGCTAACATCTATGGAATCTAAGGCTGTGTGGGTTATCTTGCTTTTAGTCTTGAAGCAACCAGACATCGATGACTTGGTCCAACCATGAACACTACAAGAACATGAGGAAATGTTCAACCATGAACACTAAGTTATTTAATTCCATCTCCAAGTGAAAGCTACTACAATTAACTGCAGTCTCATGGAGACATTTTCAAATTACAATTTGGCAAGTGTGTTGGCTAATTCTTTAGAAGTCTGAACTCTGTCATTTCAAAGTCTTAATGTGATGCAATTGGAAACTACAAGAGTTGGAACTCCAGTACAAACTTTTAAAAGAGTACAGTCTGAAATTCAATCCATGTCCAAAGCACGAAGTTTGCTTGTGAAAAGCTTGCACTGTGAAGCAATATAAGATGCAGTTTGATTTTGAGTGACTGTTACACTTACGCCTCGCTGATTGGCTCTCAAGATGACTGGCTGGTCGGCTCATATTGGTTCACAAGAGGACTTGCTGGTTGGTAGGCTGATTGGATCACAAGATGACCGGCTGGTTGGTAGGCTGATTGGTTCTCAAGATGACTGACTGGTGGGCAGGCTGATTGGTTCACAAGATGACTGGCTGGTTGGCTCATATTGGTTCACAAGAGGACTGGCTGGTTGGTAGGCTGATTGGTTCACAAGATGACTAGCTGGTGGGTAGGCTGACTAGTTCATAAGATGACTGGCTGGTTGGTGGGCTGATTGGTTGAGACAGGATAAAGGATGAAGCTACTCACACCAGCCAATCGATGACAATAAACAGAATGTTGTATCTGTTGGTGTGCTCATCGTTGATCACAAACACCTTCCACAAAATGAACGCCTGAAGACATAAAAACATGAAGAAAGTTTTTTGCAAACTCTCGGACAAGCACTGAGCATACAGTGTTTATTAATATGTACGTTGGGTAAGGGCAAAACCCGTTATATAAATGGAGAAAGTTGACTTAACAGACAGCACAGTAAAATAACAATATTGGGGACAATTAACACATGCTTTGCTTTACTAGCAATGGGGACAGTACAGTAATTTGCCACTCTACACAACTGTACATCTTTTTACCTTTTAGGATCAAATCCACATAGAAATTTGTAAATAGCCAGACCCAATCATCAGACCGAACCCGCCAGCTGACGGACAAAAATCCAGAAGCTGTCCAGGCTGTGTGGGCAATTAATTGCTGATGTGTTTCTAACTTGTCTTGTTGTGATCAATGTTCAACTACTGGGCCACCTAAACTTGTCTGGCAACTTTGGCAGGTAAGTGAACAGAACATCAAAGACAAAGCCAGGAATTGCAAACTGTGTGGCTCAGACCAAATGACTTCAAGAGTGTTATTCAGATTTGATATGTTATCTGGACTTCATGTCAGGGCAGACATGTTTGGGAAATAAGCAATATGTGAATCACTGGTCACGCAAGAAGGAAAGGGGGTGTGGCCCTCTCGGACACCACTCCTCCAATAGATCCAACCTTCTATGGAATTGAGTTTTGGGTAGTACTGTGTGACAGTAGGGTTAAAATCAACAGGGCCACATCTACCACTTCTTTTGCACCCGTGGAGCTGTCTGTTAAAAGGTGTTCTGGGTATAAAGCCATTTGAAAGGAATGACGTGAACAGAATGGAGTCAGGGGGTCCGTCCTCACCTGTAAGGCCTTCCAAGTGAACTGTGCCAGAAAGGAGAAGTGGATCAGCACCCTTAGGGCAGCACAGGAGGGTGCAGAGACAGAGCTACTCACATACGCTGAGATGACAAAGATGATCTGAGGAGAGAACAGGTGGACAGGTTATTTTCCAATTAATATCAATCCTAGCTCCCTCATCAGAACTCTTGCTAGGAATCTTACTCAATCTGAGGAGAGAACAGTTGGAAAGATGTATATGCCAAAAAATATCTTAGCTCTCTCTGAATTCTTTGATTCTTCAAAATCCTCCACTGTACAGGGAATCCTCCACTGTGCAGGGAATTCCTCCACTGAGCAGGGAACGGCACAGTCTTTGAACTTCAACTTTCAAGGGACAGTGAAGCATCATGCAATTTAACACTCCCTTGGCTCTATCTTCTTACATCCTACATCCTTACTAGAAGCAGTTGCTCTTACCTGGCCAAGTTCATGGATTTTTCTCTCCCAAATTTTAAAACAGCATTAAGCATAAAGAACATCTATAAATGTTGTTGTTACCTGGAGTGACATGGCGGCCACGCACATATGCATGAGAAGCTTGGCCGAGAACATGGAGAAAACCGAGCAGATGGCGTGAGCAATGATGGCACACAACAGGCCCACCTCCACAGAGAGAATGAAACAAGTCCTTCATGTTGGTGAATCTGTGTTTGGCTGATTAATTTCAGGACTGGTGTTCTCCTCACAAAATTTCAAGTACTGATTTTGTTTGAATAGGTAAAAGTAATAACTACGTCACTTGGAAACATATAAAATGAAAGGTTTTATTGCACACTGTTTTTGAAGTTTGGAATTTGTAAATTAAAAACATAGGCATGGTGAACACAGGTCAAGTGTATTCAGCATCTCATGGAAAAGGACACATTAAACTTAACTGTCAAAAAGGGGAATTCACTTTAGAAATAGTTATTTTTTAGTGTACCAAGTAAACTAAAGGGTCATAACAATTTCATGATAAAACAATGAAAACTTCCTAAAACATTTCTATAACCATATTTAGAAAGCGGTACTATTTTAATAAGACCCAAAAAAGCACCTCTCTCATCAAGTGAATGCAGAAATATTTCATCTGACCAATCAAAAGACCCGTCCCCTCACACGTTACTGAATCAGCAGGATTGTTTCACATCAAAGCATCATCATCAAACCCATGGTCAAGACCTACCAGGACTTAGGAATACCCGATCATATTTAAAAATCAGTAAAACTTGTAGGAAAACCTGATCATATTTAGAAAGCCTATCAATACCTGGTTATTGAGAGTAGAGAACCAGCCCATCGCAAGTCAGTCACAAGCCAAATCATAAATCAGTTTGCAGTTCATCTCACAAATAGAAAAAGCAAAACAACAGCTGAAAAATGACATAGATATCACCAAGCAGACAATGATAACCACTGGCGTTAGTCGATAATTC